GGGGGGGCTAGTAACAACGTAATGAGCAACATTAATAACAAGCACGAGCCGACTATCTACAGTTCTGGGCGGTAGTAATCAAGCAGATGCTAAACACAGCTCGGCTTGTTGCCAAGCTCGAGTCAACAGGGCCGACAGAAACTTCTTTTACTGGTGTGTTGCAAGAAGTAGAATAGTCCTTTTTATTTTGAAGTGTTTCTGGTTGAGAGAGTTGACTTGCGTCAACGCTCAATGTCATCCACATCAAGTCGAGTACGGATAACCAAACCAGCCATAAACCTAAATTAGTGCACTGTGAATTTTGGGTGGTTTAGACAAGCGGAACACCCACACTGTACAGAAAAAATCAGTAGATGTTTTTCAGGAGTGGCACTCTGAATCTTGTTTTCAGACCATTACTCAAAATTTTCTAGGTTAAGACTGAAAATTCAGACTTTTTACACTGCATCGTGTTTTCAGAGCGATTTGTCTGAATATTCTAAAGTATATTTTCAGACTTTACACTGAATCTATAATTCAGAGTTACCGGTATGAATTTTGAGCGGAAAGTCCACCAGACAGGCGGACGAACCACACCAGTAGCCGAAGATGCTCCCCACGCAGGTAGCCAGCAGCCGAATGGTTTAGGTGGTGGCTTCCCGACCTGAAGGTTGGCGGCTCGACACCAACCAAGGCTAATACCGAATGGACAGATATGTCTTCACCTGGGCAAAGCCCTCTTTGTTCAGTCGCTCTCTACGGGTTCATTTTTAACATTTTCAAAAATATTTTTATACTGGCTGTGTGAATTTTCAGACTTTGTGGTATGGTAAGGCAGTACTGAAATTTCAGACCAGGGTGCAGTTTGAATTTTCAGACTACTGGTCTGTAAAAAAAAACCTTCAGAGTTAAGGTACTGATAATTCAGTACGACTTTTTTTACAGTGTTGTGCTGGCAGAGGCATAACAAGGAGTAGGATGGATAGGCTCAGTGCTCACAAATTTGCATCTCAGGAATAGAGGAAAGTTGGACAGTGCCTTTTTTAGACTTTGGTGAGTAAAAGAAACCACCTCACCCCCCTGACAGTGCTGCTGCACTGGTCACTGATAAATTTTGATGTAATTAAGGATCGGTTTGTATCTAATTAGTCTCAACCCTGCATTTTAATTATTATTTTCCAACATCATCCTCTGAAAGTATTATAAATGTATTTTATTTTTCGAGAACTTAGTTAAAATTTGAAATACATTATTCTAGTTTAGCTTATTGCCGTTCAAAAACGGAGTATCTGGGAATCATCGGTGCGAGGCCAAACTAATCTTGCACCGTTTTACTATGGACGCCTCTTTTGCAGTTATTTACGCAATTTTCTTTGGGAAGACGCTGGTTTATTTTCCTTGAAGAAATGTATCTAGGATGACAGACAAATTCTCCCTAGGGTATGGCCATTAGGGTTCAATCCAAAGTCTCAAATTGTGTTCTAATCAGTTACAATTGGCTTCATACGAACAATTGTCCATAAAACTGGACCATTTTGTAACTGACAAGTTACGCGTGCAGAAGTCCAGAGCTCAGCTACAAATTTGTACGGAGCAAGTTACAAAAATGTCTATGGCATTAAGAGTGCAGCCCTATAGAAATATAGCCAGCACCTCGCTAGGCTTAAGGTCTCTCTCGTCGTAAATCAACGAGGTCAATGTGGACCGGTGAACACCGTGACGTTACAGTGCCCAGAGGCTGTGTACAATTTTTTACAAGCAGGCCCGCCCTGGACCCTGGACCCCTACCAAGCGAGCTACGCAAGCTAGACCCTTTCCTCGACCGGTGAGAGGTCGGCATTATTTAGCTCGCATAGCTCGCTCTTTGCATGGCGCTATAAGGCTCAACGGGCCAGCCCCCAGCGTCATTTGGTGGGGCCACAGGCCCGACCATTATTAGTCACTATTAGGTTGATATGTATCTTATACTAGATGTGCTGTTCTCTAAACTCAACAGATCGACACCTTCGCTGCCAGTCTGAAAAGTAGCGGCAGCGTGCAGGATTTCTGCGAGCACCTGGGCCGTCGTGGCGCGAGCTTTTCGCCAGAGCAGCGGCTTCTGACCGAGGGGGTTACGGGTGACTGCGGCTACCTCGACGTGCTGCAGGTGGTGAGCGACAAGCCCCTCCTGGATCCCAGAGCTGCCGTCAAGCGGTGGACTGAGCCTCTCGACAAGGCGGCCGCCGACTTGGCCGCCCGCGCCGACTGGCACCGCTTCCTCGTGTCCGCGTACGAGCGGCTCACGCGCCACGAACAACAGGTACTACGTCTTGCAAAAGAAACGGACCTCTGCTGCGGGGCTACTCCGCGCTCCGGCTCGGGCGACAGACGGACACCGGCCGCCCCGTTGCCGCTGTGCACAAGGGTGGGGGCGGGGGGCACCGACTGCACGGCCGGGCCGGCGGGGCGCGCTGGAGGGCTCGGCCTGCCTGGCCTCCTGGGCCGCAGCCCCGGGCCGCAGTCTTCCGCGGTGGTGGCGCGTGCCTATCGGTGACGGGCGAAGTGACGGGCATTGTGACAGGCCGTAAGCGGCTGCATCGGCCACTCACAAGTGTTCAACTACCTGGCAGCTGGAAATTTCCAGGACCGTGTCGCACTCATGCGGTTCACTGAAAATTTGAACAGTTTTAAGTTTTTGGGTGAACAATTGAACACTTAGAACTGTTGCCTGCAACTAGGGGCTGGGTCGCACTTATGCGGTTCTCTGAAAATTTAAAAAGTTACAAGTTTTCGAGTGAGAAATTGAACACCTAGAACTGTTGCTTTGAATCCTGTTAGGACTGCAGTAGAGGAGACAGAGGGCATTCCCTATCTGGGTGCCTCATCACACTTGCACACCCGACCCGACACCCAGGTAGGTAGGTAAACGAAAAGAAATTAACACATTAACGACAAGCGCGCATTGGGTGAGAAGGGGGGGGGGCAGTTCTAGTGCCATACCTGGAGGATATGTAGTTAGCGATAAGCAGGGTCGAAAAGGAGGGCCCGCTGAAAAGGAGGGTCGGCGCAAACCGCCGCGTACGCTTGTTTGAGCTCGCCTCTGTCCACATTTCAGGTGTTCATAGTTCATAGCGAACGTGAACGGATGCTTGAGTGTCGAAAAACTACAGGAAATTTGCTCCACCACCAAACGAAGGTGCCCCCCCCCCCTCTCCGCCAGCCACCTTACAACCCGAGCGTGACACCGTTGATTCCAGATAGTAAAAAGTAAATCTTTATTTTCAGGCGCTCTTCACTAGGGTCTAGATAAGCTAACACACCCCAAGTGAAGGGCGCCTGAAATTAAAGATTTACTTTTTACTACCTGGAATAATCGGTGTCACGATCGGGTTGTAAGGTGGATGGAGAGGGGGGGGGCACAATTTTTTGGTGATGCCTATGTGGCATGTGCCTGCACATGCCTAGGCTAATGTAGGCAAAGCCAGGAAACTACGTTCTATGAATTTTTGAGGTGGAATACGAGACTTGTATTACATCAACAAATAGGGCAG